GCCGCACCCGCCTCCACTGTCCACATTGCCCTCGCACATTCATGCATCGCATGCCTATTCAGCCAAATCCGTATCTACGAGAGCGGATCTGACCGCAGTCCCAACACGTCCAGCACACCCACCATGCCTAGCCCCACCAAATTCTCGTGTCAACACTGTCCCCGCACATTCACCTCACACATCGGCCTGGTCGGTCACTTGCGTATCTGTCGCACAGAGACTGTCGAACCAGTGCCTGAAGCACCTACATCCACCACGTCCGCCTCCACTGTCCATACTGCCCTCGCACATTCATGTGTGGCGACGCAGCGGCTAGAGTAAGTACTCTGTGTCCTTGTCTGTGCGCTACCATCCTCGGGTCAGATCCCAAGTTGAGGAGAGAGAACGGAAGGCTCCAGAATGAGGGATTTATTGTGCACTGAACCCGGTGTTGTCCTCTCAGGCGGCAGTGGCCACTGGCGAAGCCAGGGCTGGTGTTGACTGCGTCCAGTCAGGCCTGAGAGTCCCTGAGATAGTGGTGGCAGCCGCTTTTGTAGGCTCGTGGGCCAAGCTGAAGTGGTGTCCAATCAGCGTGTGTTGCATTTGCCGAGGGATTGTGTCCCAGTGGCTTGTTTTGCTGGTTGCAGGGGGTGGCGCGTTAAAGTGGCCGCATGGGCAGCTGCGACTGCGCGGACGCAGGTATGCCCGAGCTGTTGGTCGTGTGATTTCAGGTCAGCTCGTCTGCGACGGATAGCTGCAAAGGGTGAATGACCTTGAGACAGCGAGGTCTTGAACAATGACGCCAAACCGGTCATGATGGCTGGCTGCCACAGCTCCCCCCAGACACAGAACGATGTGATTGTGTCGATCGTGAGGCAGGCGATGATATGTGTGAAATTATATAGTGCACATGTGGGTTTGAGAGCGTGTGTCGATGATGACAGTAGATTGGACCGCGTGCCAGTGGGGATGCTGCGACCTGTACAGAGGTTCAGTTGAGGCATCAACCCTGGGTGTGCTGGAGTGGTATCGTCAACGTGTGTCGGTGAGTTGGCACGTTAGCATGAGACAGAAGAACATTTCGGACACAAGGCATCCCAGTGAGTGCTGAGTTGGATGAATGCGTCAGTGAAATAGGCTCACTGTCATCCAGACACGAAAATTGGGAGAGAATGTGGAGAATTGTGGAGAGAAAGTGTGAAGGTTCATCGCTGTATATGCGGTGGCATATGGAGTGTATGCAAGCAACTCACGAATGATGGTTTCGTCGGTAATGAGTGGAAGAATGTCTCGGAAAAAAGTGATGCATTCAGATGGCAACACATTTGTAGGACTGCTCGACACAGTTAGACTGACGTTTGACCTGGACTTGAATGGCAGAGTTTTGTTGATAGCATCCATCTCGAATCGCGACAGGGTGATGGCAGCCGCGTTTTCCTATTCGTGGACACGATGTGTGACACAGGAAAAACAGCAAGCCGAAGTCGAGTGGGAATTTTGTGGCGGTTGAGTTCAGCCACGTCAGGAGATTGCGCGTCGATCACGTCGGGGTTGTCACCAATTTGTTGTGACCAAGCGTTGAAAATGTGTGCAAGTTGAGCGCTAACATCATCAGGGGAAATCCTATGTTGGAGAGAGAAGACAGAAGGGACCAGTTTGGGTTTCCAATCGGTGTGTGTTGCATTTGCCGAGGGGTGATGTCCCAGTGGCTTGTTTTGCTGGTTGCAGGGGGTGGCGCGTTCAAGTGGCCGCATGGGCAGCTGCGACTGCGCGGACGCAGGTATGCCCGAGCTGTTGGTCGTGCGACTTCAGGTCAGCTCGTCTGGGACGGCTAGCTGCAAGGGGTGAATGACCTTGAGACAGCGAGATCTTGAACAATGACGCCAAACCGGTCATGATGGCTGGCTGCCACACATGCACCACATGGACCTATTCGGCCACATGCGCATCCACGAAAACCTGCGGTAGGCAACCGCCGGCTGCACCACACCATCACGTCCTCTCCCACCACCACCACCACCACCACCACCACCACCACCACCACCACCACCGCCTGGTTATTTGTTGTGTGAACCAGGGGGGGGATGGAGTGGAACGCCAAGGCGCGGACTCGACCGTGCCATTCACCTGCGCCCTCCCCCGCCTCTGTTCTTTTGACTCTGCCTTGGCACCGGGTCCAGATGGGGGGGGGGGTGGAGAGAGTGTGGTAGATGCTGCGCAAGTCTACATTCACTACAAACTAAATCACGCGCAAGTCGCCGTCCCTGCTCCGCAGCACACAGTGGACATCGTCGAAACCGACGGTCAAACTGTCGTCCGTGTTATTACATGTTACTCGTCCCTATCAACGACAATGCCGTTGGTGATGGCCACAGCTCAATCGTCTTGGGTAGCCTTGGTCGTGCGCTGAAGCGCCCCACCGGCTAAACTGTTTTGAATGTTGTCTCACCTGAACTCGGCTCTGCTGACGAAGACATCAGGGTGGGCAGTTCAACACAGACAGGCTTTGGTGAACGTTA